AAGTCACTAAGTACAGATCAAACGATGCAGTCCGAATCAACTCTCGGACTCGCAACCGTAAGGTCGTGGGTTCGAATCCCGTCAAGGGCCCGACGTTGTGTCCTTGGGAAAGGCACTTTACACGAATTTTCCTCACTTCACCCAGGTGGGAATGGGTACCCGGCTATAGACAGCGAAAGATCTTGTCAGTTTGTTAGTGTTTGAGCACTAAATCGGCTGCTTGCACTGTATGCTTCCCGGGAAGCTGAGAATGTTTCGGAGTGTTCTATGGTCTGCTGGAGTAATAATATAGTGTAAAGCGCATAGAGCCTGCTGCTGAGCGGGGATATGCGCTATACAAATGCTATCTATTATTAACTTCACAAACTACAGAACCATCAGCTGCAGCTAAAGAGTCTGGTGCCAGTACAAGAATTGCGGTTCTCGGTCTCGCTGATACCTAATCCAAGCATCCAGTTCCAATGGCTCATCTTCAATAGTTGTTGTCAGATATTCACGATGGGCTTGTCTCAGTAAACTATACAAAGCAAGAGCGGTGACTTGGTGCATGTAGCGAGTGCGGGTCAGATGTGTCACCAACATCATAGAATCAGCAACTCCACTTGAAGCCACACCACTAACTGACAGACGTGATGTCCATCCACTCCATTCCAGCCACTCCCCTAGGCCGTTCAAACAGCATTTTCTCCATGTGCAGTGCCCCAAGCATCACCACAAACTTGTCCTCTCCTAAGACGTCTGAAAATTTCCACGGACTCTTCTTTGCCAATGTAAAGAGTGGCTGATCAGCAACCATGACCGGGGTCTGTCCAGAATTCAGTTGCTTTGTAACAGCAGCAACAATGTTCATCCCATGGAATACCATCATTGGACTGTGAGCGGATTCCCTAAAAAGGGGAAGCACCATCAATGGGGTGACTGGTGAAAGCGGAGGTCCAAGCTTGTCAATTTGAAATATGCAAAATATATATACTTCATAATCACATCATATGACTAACATATTGAATAAATAAAAAACCGGACCTTCTACATCCAAAATTTTGATTTCAATGGTTAAGGCATCCACAAAAACATATATTTTGACACCATTTTCATGAAAATCGAAGATGTGTATGATATTTTAGAGTTATTTTCATTTTGCTTGATTTTTCAATGGCGTCCATGTTTAATTTATGCAAATTAGAGTGAAATTATGCAGATAGAGATTGTGTCCGTTTATCAAAATTCTTAGTTTTGTTCAAGGTACGTGTGTGCCAAGTGGCATGTTCCTACTAAAATTTGCAGTGGGGGTGGAGTTAGGGAGCCCACTATAAAATCCGTTATCACTTGTCTTCAATAACCTTTCAACGTGCGTGGTTGGCAGGTGCTCTGGTGTGGTATGCTTCTTCTTTCCTATCAAACATCCATCGCCTTTATCTCCCCTCCTTTCTTGAGTTTGTTACTCTCTTGCAACACTTCTAATCTTCGGCACTTATATGACCTTATTGTGTTGCAAGTGCCGTAAAACTCTTACTAAAACTAAAATCGTTCAAACGTTTAAAAAGACTTTATACGACATACTATTCCACTGAGAGAAAGTTGGTGGGTGGTTGGCGGGTGGTGTGATATGGTTTGCTCCTTTTCTATGAAACTGAAACATCTATCGTCCTCATCTCCCCTCCTTTTGTTTTTGTTGCTCTTGTTACTCTCTTGTAATACCTCTAATCTTTGGCACTTATTGTGTTGCAAGTGCTGTAAAACTCATACTCAAACTAAACAGGTGGGTGGTTGGAGGGTGCTCTGGTGTGGTTTGCTCCTTCTTTCCTATCAAACATTTATCATCCTTATCTCCCCTCCTTCTTTTTTGTGTATATTACTCTCATGTAACACCTCTAATCTTCGGCACTTATATGACCTTAATGTGTTGCAAATGCCGTAAAACGCTTACTAAAAATAAAAAATAAACTAAACAGCAAGATAATAATGTCTCAAGATGCCTTTATTCAACAGTTCTGAGAAGGGTCCTAAAATTATTATTTCGCAATGGGAGGCTATCACTGTCACTGAAGAAAACGTTCTCAATTTGTAATTATTTCCCTTGAATGACAGGAGGCTCAAAAGAAGAAGAAGAAGAAGAAGAAGAAGTAAAACAACAACAATAATAATATTGATAATAATAATAATTATAGTTATAACAATAATAATAATAATAATAATAATAATAATAATAATAATAATAATAATAATAATAATAATAAGGCATGTAATAGTAATAATCTAGAATCTGAGTTTGTTGCCATTTGATTGTCCAAAAGTTGCCAAAAGTTGCCACAAAAATGGCAAAAGTTGCCAAAAAAGTTGCCATTAATCTCAAGCTTTCAACTAGCTATGACGACGTAATATATAGACAGAGGTAACTTAACCTAAAACACCAAAATTTCTTGTGCTCTTTTTTAAGCATCCAGAATATTATTTGTAGCCACACAGAGTGTAAAAACGTGAAAAATAAAGGTTTCACAACAGAATAAAATTAGAATTAGAACAGCACACAAACAACCGCAAAAAGTAACAGATAAGGGCGAGTGTCCACCTATCCTAAGATTGGCCGTTTTAACCCTAAACGAGCTTAATTCAAGAAAAAATGCTGGATATTACATGTAAATTATGGAATCTCACACAAGGGGCCTGCCAGTGTCAGTATTCGGTTTTGGTGGAGACTCGCTCAAACATAACACATTTATAGATATTTTTTTAATGTAGGACCATCAAATGAAATAACATTACGCTATAGGCCTACACGTATAAACACACACACAAATAGATCAGAAAAATAACCCCCCCCCCCCCCCAGAAATTAACACACCAACAAAGAGGGAAAAATAAAAGACAAACAGCAATACATGTACAATAAACAGTATGTAATGTACTTATTGTTATTCTCGTGAATATAATTATACATGGACACCTTAAAATTATCAAAATACACGTCTATGTTATGGAGTAGCCTTTTCTTTTTGAAAAATGCAAAAATCGCGAATAATAATAATAATAATAATAATAATAATAATAATAATAATAATAATAATAATAATAATGACACAGGTAATGATAAGAATAATAATAATAATAATAATAATAATGACACAGGTAATGATAAGAACAATAACAACAATTATAATAATCATAATAATAATAACATGAATACCAGATCCACTCATCCGGATTTGTGAATCGGGTATGTGTGAGTCACCCACAGCAATGTTCCCAAGACAGGAATCCTGAGGGCTATCGCGGGCCGTCATATATCTGTCATTCCATCTGTTGTGGCGATGTCTCTCTGTCTCTCTCTCTCTCTCTCTCTCTCTCTCTCTCTCTCTCTCTCTCTCTCTCTCTCTCTCTCTCTACCTGTGGAGATCACAACCAAACCGGGGAAGCAAGGCTGTCCTCCAAAGAAGCTGTGAGAA